TATAGACTTCTGTAGAAGATGAAGAATCAAAGTGATTTTAGACAATCCAATTAGGATTAAAATGTCATTGAGGTAATTTTAGAGAATCCAATTAAGAATAAAATTTCCCTTTACAAGAAATATTCTTAGGCAAGAAGGATAATTTAACAAGTATTTCTATTAATGATTTATGAATTAGAGCCATATTAAGGCAATCTTCTCTAGAAAAAGAGGGGTAAATGAGAGCCACTCCACACCTGTCTGTGCCAGCCCTGCCTCTGTTGCCAACATCATAGGCTTTGAAAGTCTCTGCTTCTGTTTCCTCATCTGTTATAGGAGGAAGTTAGACTAGGTCAGTTGTCTACAATAATACAGATCTAAACTCCTTCTTATAATAAATACTTTCTACTATCCCTTACAAAGCAAAAATAAAACACAGAAGCACTATAATCTCTTTGCACACATAATTTAGTGGATCTAAGTATAACATCCTTTCCATAATATAGGGAAGAAATAGAGGGAAAGCTACTTATCATTAAATAATACGTGTTATATATACATTTCCAAGCATAGGCACACTAGAAGACAACGTGAAGCAGAAAGATACATGTACCTACTTACATTTGAGCAAAGTGAATAATTCAGAAGCCACTCCATTCAAGCAATGGAAAGCCCACAGAAATGAAAGCCCAGGAGTTTGAGTGTGAATACTAGAATAAAAACAATTTTAGAATAAGTAATAATAGACCAAGCTTATTTGTAGGTGATCAAGGAAGGACAAAATAAGAAACTCTGATACTTCTTTGACTACTTTATTTGCTGTTTCTTTGTGAAATGTTTATTTAATCTCAATGGTTTCATGGCTTATTTTGAAAAGAAAGAAGTCTTGGCAGACTGAGTAAATTGGTTAATTCAAATACCATGGGGAGGTAAGAGAAATAGAGAGCGCAAGTGGATATCTGTTTTTTATAGTCAGTCAGAAGACCTCTCTGAAGAGGCATGTTTGCACAGAGAACAGAAGGAAGCAAGGGAGATCATGCAAAGCACAGGAAGACTCTGATGGGGCGTGCTTAGAAAGTGAAGCAGTTGTAAGAAGGTCAGTTCAAAAAGGACACACAGGTCAAAGTGTAGGAGTGGCAGAAAACGAGGTCAGAGAAGTGCCATAGGAGACCATGTAGGGACTTGAGAGAGACTCTGAGGACTTACAACTTTTGTCTTAGTGAGATGGGAAGCTACTGGAGATAGTGAGCTGAACAGTAACATGATAAGACTTGTATCTTTTTTTTTAAAGATTTTTTTATTGATTATTTTAGAGAGAGAGGAAGGGACAAGGAGAGAGAAACATTAATGTGAGAGTAGAATATTGAGCAGCTGCCTCCTGCATGCCCCCAACTGGGGATTGAGCCTGAAACCTGGGCATGTGTCCCGACCTGGAATCGAACCAGCAACACTTCAGGTGCATAGGACCACACCCAACTAACTGAGCCACACTGGCCAGAGTGATACTTGTATCTCAATAAAAGCCTTTTTTCTTTCATTCATTCAGAATGAATATGTTCCAATTAAACAGAATTGTAAGAGAGGAAGTAGGTAGGCCAATTAGACCAGTTAGGAAGTCATAGAAATTCTTCAGGTGAGAGATAATGGTGGTCTGGGCTTAGCAGGAGAGGAACTGGGAAGTGGCTGAATTTTAGATATATGTATGCTACATAGAGAATAGATAGAAGTTGCTGATTATTGGATGTAGGAGTAGGAGAAAGGGAATAGTCATTACTAAAATCAAGACTTTGCTTGAGCAATCTGAAGCATGGGCTAGATATTTACTTTCTGAAATGGGAAGCGGTAAGGAGAAACTGCTGTGATTAAGAGGGAAAACAGGAGGTTAAATTTGACATTCTACACTGAGATGCTTTTCAGGCTTGGAAATGGTGATTGTAAGAAGAAATGAGATTAGGAGTATGGAGTTTAGAAACAGGTCTAAGCTGAAGCTACACATTTTCTACTTATCAGTGAAATAGAAATATTTAAAGCAATGAGATTGCATGGGATTATTAAGGGAATGAATGCAGAGAGAAAACAGAGATCAGAGGACAAATGCTAAAGTTAATGAAGTGGATCTATTCGTGGAGATTGAGAAGGATAGCAGAGAAGTAGAAAGCGAATCAAGACAGAATGATATCCTGGAATTCAAGTGAAGAAATATGCTTGCAAGTCAGCTGTATTCATGGTTTATTGTTGATTAAGATGAGGACTGATATAGACAACTGAAATTAGCAACAGGTCTTTGGTGACTTTGACAAAAAAAAAATTATATGAAATAGTGAGGATGGAAGCCTTAATTCAGTGATTTCAAATGAGAAACAAAAGTTAAGACAGCTAGTGTAGGTCCTCTCAAAAAATTGTACTGTAAGTGGTAGTAAAGAGTAGAGTAGTAGCCAGAGAGGCCAAGAGATATTTTTAAATTATAATATTTTTAAGATGCAAGATTACAGAATGTTATATGTAGATGGGGATAATCTCCTAGAATAGTGCTGTTCAATAGAACTCTCAATAGATAGAAATGTTTTCTTATTTATATTTGATCTGTTCTAACCTACACTTTAACATTTCAAGTGCTCAATAGTCACATGTGGCATTGAGCACTTGAAATGTAGCTAGAGTGTGTGAGGAAATGAATTTAAAATTTTACTTGATTATGGTTAATGTAAAGAGTTGCATGAGCTGGTGGTTACTGAATTGGACAGCATAGCTCTAGAGAGAGGAAAGTTGGTGAAACAGAACAGAGAAGGTCACTTGCTGGAGTGATGACCTTGAGTAGCTGAAAGAAAAAGGGATCTCATACAAAGGAGTAGAGATTGGCCTTGAAAAGGGGCATGGGCAGTTGATTCATTGTAACAGAAGGGATGGCATGTAGGTTCAGATATAGGCGTGGTGGTGGAGGTTTATGGAATTTCTCTTTTGATTGCTTCTATGTGTTCAGTGAAATAAAATATGTGTCCAGGAAAATTGCACATGGCAGGGCTAACAATGCACTCTTTCACTTGTGCCTGGAGGTAAACAATAGCCAACTCCCAGGCCTGTTCTTGCATTACTTTCTTAGTTTCCTAATGCCCCACTGACCTACTAACATTCCTGAGGTTCTGAGCAGTGTCATAGGATCACCTAAATAATAGTTACCCAGGAGATTAAGTCCCAAAGGCGGAAACACATTTCTGCTTCACTGAGTTGTGTTGTGATCTCATTGTAATGCTACTTAGAATGAAGACAAAGATCATTTTGGGAAAGAAAAACCTCCCAATTTATGTGGCTCACAACACAACATAAGCCTTACAACAAAGGGAAAACGTTTTGGACTTTGTGAATAGACCCAAACAAGGAACTCAGGAGTTCTGATGGTCCAGACAGAGAGGTGTGGATTCTGATCTCTCTCTCTCTCTCTCTCTCTCTCTCTCTCTCTCTCTCTCTCTCTCTCGTCTTAAAGAGCCTAATTTCGCACCTCCCTCTAGAGTGCTGAGACACAGGTTTTAATCTGCCTGGTCAGCTTTCTCTGCAGCATGCCTTTAGGCACCTCAGAATCTACTTGTCTGAACCAAACTCATCAGTAACAGGATGAGCTTTTAAAATTCTTTTCTTCTGGAATTGAGTTCACACAGGCTGAGATGACAGAGACAGACCACAAGATTGTTAATCTGAGGGTGTGAAAGATTTGATTATCTTTCAGGTAGCACTTTTCTTCAGAACAGTTCTCTCTCTTCACTCCTCTGTGATTCAGCAGGGAGAGATTTGAGGATAAAGGTCTAGTAGTGAGGTCGGCAGGAAAGGAACCCCTAGGATTCCTCAGAAAAGATGTAAAAGGACAAAGGGGCTTTGGAAGAAGAGAAAACAGTAGTAGGAGAGGGTATGAGGTTCCTCAATCAACTTTAAGGGGATGACCAACTGGGTGAACCATAGGCCAACAACTGTGACATTGCAGCAGTCAGAGAAATGTGTGCCCATAGCCATGGAACAGGGTGCAGAAACTTTTTTAGACTCCCAGGTTATTCTCTCCTCATAGTTTCTTTGCAACTTGTTCAGCTATTTGTCAGAGTTTTATTGAGGCCATGTGGGATAAGCTCTGTGCTGATCCTTCTTGTCCTGGATATGGACACAATTTTGAGGCTTCACATATATTCAGTTTACCAACTCTATAAATATATGTTAATCAAGTTTCAGAGCAGGACTCCCAGAGGCACAGAGAAAACAGTTCCATCTATCAAGGAGCTTACACTATGGCTGAGGAGATAGGTAGGTCAATAGGTGAGGATGGTGCCGGGCCTTACTCAGGCTCTGGGTTAGGTCTGGGAATGAAAGAAAGGAGAACTCATGACCTTGTCTTTAAGGAATGTACCTAGTTCAAAAGTAATCAGACAGATAAAGAGTGTTTCCTGTTACGTACAACTCCTCATAGGGTTGAGGTAGGGGAGTGCTAGATTTGGAGGAAGATTTGAAAAGGAATCCTGGAAGTAATAGTTGAAAAGCTGTTTTGAAAGAAGTAGTTATTATGATTATTTGCTATTTCATTATCTTTTTGAAAAAAATATATATTCTCACAGCTTTCATTGTATAGTGCTTTGAACCCATCACATGCATAATAAATTGGGGAGAAAACTTTTGAGGAAAAGACTGAGGTACAGTTTCAATGGTTAAGGCTCCCAGATGAGACATCTACACCCAGAGTGTAAACATATATTTCTTTCAAGTATGATGTTTTTGGGCAATTAATAGAATAAAAATTTAACTTAAACCATTTTATGATAGCATAAAATAATGAGACATGAGTAGGAAAAATGAAGGATCATAATCTCATCTTTCTTGATTTTTCAATGGATTCTTAAAAAATTGCAACATGAGGTAGACTCATTGTTTGATGGTTTAGGAACCTAACTCACCACAACAACATTTGCCAAGACACTTAATCTGTTTGGTTTTAAGAAAAACCTTTTTATTTTTTTTTTCATTGTTAATGCAAAGAATAAACTTACGGTTGTTTATTAAAGAGGTTCTAAAGTGTTGAAATGTCAATAGCAAGAAACTCACTTCCCAACTTGCACTTGGCTCTTGAGAGGCATCAAATTGCTCCTGAATTAATAGCTGAGAGCTGTTGTTATTTCCTGGTGGAGATTTCACAGTGAGGGCAGGAGAAGGCTGAATAACTAGGTGCTGTTCATCATGTGCCTTCAGATATATGTTCTTGAAGGTCTGACCTTTACATTAAACATATAGGAACAAATGTCACTGAATTAAGTAGAGAGGAATCTGTATGAGAGCATAAGGCTGTGGAGTTACCTGTGGTTCCAAGCATTTGAGCTTTATCTATAACTTTTGCACTAACTCAGGAAATGCTGCTCATGGGATGAGGCTGCTTGTCAGGCTTATGACTCAAGAAACTGAAATATTAGCCAAATGAAATGTTGCACAACCTAGGCTGCTCACCCCTAGCACATACAATTTTGAGCATGATCATGTGTAGCCTTAGATCTGCCGGCCTTGAGACCACTAAGCGGAGCAGAAATGAAGCATGCGGGGGAACAGTCTGATGTTGGCTGCAAAGGGCAACAGGATGCCTGCAGACTCTAGGTCATGTTGTTTTCTTTCTTCTATATGGCAGGTCCATGACAAAGTTATGCAAATAGGACATGAAAAAATAATTTCTCAAAGGCACTTTCTTTGTGCCGAATAGACTCTGGATAATATTAGCTTATTTTAGAGTCTAGCTCTCCCAATTTTCCTACAAGCTAGAGCCAGAAAATGCGTATTTCCTAGGAAGGCCCAGGCCCTACGAAGCAGGGCTTGGAGTGAGAGAGTCCCCGGGGCTGGGTGAGAGCAGGAGGAAGTTTCACTGACGTCTATTCATTTCTCTCCCACACCTATTCCTTTCTCTGCCACGGCCTCCCACCTGAGTGGCTATGGTTCACGTAAGAAATAGTAATTATCATCTAAACCTAGGGACAGAAGTGTCAGGCACTGGAGGGTGAAACCCCATTATTTTATTCAAGCTCCCACTCAAAAACTCTCTCTTATTGACTAATAGGACCTGAACATTGACTCCCTGAAGAAAAAATGCAGTGACCACTAATATATCATGAGGAAGTGTTAATAAAATGAAATAAATATCCAGAAAAAAGTAAGTATTTTGCAATAGGAGAATTGCAGTCCCTCAGTCCTATTGTTCGTAAAAAGTGTTTCCAGGTATCACTTACAATCCCTGAGTTCTACCTGCCATACTCTATGAACACACTGCCCCCAAGGACTTTGCCCTTTGCCTAACTGTCCTCTCCTGGTAGCTCCATTTTCTCCCTGAGCTTTCAAATCTCTGGTTTTATCCATCCAGGCAGCTCTCATGCCAGAGGATGTTTGTCCTAGGAGTTTGTCCTCACTGGATTGATTGGGAAATGTGATTCTTTTGACATTAGCCAAGGGTCTAGAAACAGAGTGTTAAAAGATCAAGAATTCACTCCTTCTGGAATAGATATCCCTTCCCAAATGACCTGGACGGGCGGAGTATTCTGTATTCCTAAATTCCTGTGTGGAGCCTCCAGGGAGGAGTTCTCAGTGATCAGCTCTGGGGCCACTTTATTGTCCCCACCCCATTTCTACCAGAAACACTTTTCCAAGCAACCAAAGAAAGTTGGCATGCCCTGGGATAAGATGTGTTGCATTATCCTAAGTGAAGATGGAGAGAGATGCCATTTTATAAATGGAAGGGATCTAAAAAATAACCTACCCCAATTCTCAATTTTCTGATAAGCAAAGAAAGGTTCAGAGAAGTCACTCATTTAAAATTGCTTGTTGGTGGTAAATTTGAAAGTCTCCAATTTCCACTTCTGGGCACTGTTAATTATCATGATGTCTATTATATTAACACTAGAGGCCCGGTGCATGACATTCGTGCACTCGGGGGTTCCCTCAGCCCAGCTTATGCCCTCTCGCAGTCTGGGATCCCTTGGGGGATGTTTCAACTAATGTCTGTCAGTCGAAAATCCTTAGCGCTGCCACGGAGGCGGAGAGGCTCCGCCATTGCCGCTGAGCTCGCCAGCCGTGAGCCTGGCTCAGGGCTTCTGGCTGAGCAGTGCTCCCCCTGTGGGAGCACACTGACCACCAAGGGACAGCTCCTGCATTGAGCGTCTTCCACGTGGTGGTCAGTGCATGTCATAGCGACCGGTGGTTCCGCCGTTTGGTCGATTTGCATATTAGCCTTTTATTATATAGGATTATTACAAGGGCCACACAAAAAGTGCATTTGATCCAACAAATGGTTATTGAGTCCCTACCATGTGCTATTGTAGCTTATTACATGATAATCACAGACCAAGGTGCTGAGTGCACCCATAAAGACCCTGCTCCCCCAGAGCTCACCTTTACTGGAAAAAAGATGATAAGGAAAACACTATTTTTATTATGGTTATGACTTTTAGGTGTCATATTGCACAATGAGATAATTTTCACTGAAAATGTCTGGCTGAAAAGTTGTTCTATAAGCAATTGAACATGTTTGTCTTTTGTGACATTCCCAATTGAAAACATTCTGGCTGTAAGAGTGCACACCTCAGGGTAGCTCTCCTGTTCTCTAGTTCCAAGGTGTAGTTAAATAATTATGACAGGAGGTAGGGGAACTGTTTGGAAGGCATATGAGAAGGGCAGTTATTGGAGCAACTACAGAAATCCAAAACAGAAATTGACCATAAATTGATTGGGAAAATGTGTTTTACAGTAATTACTTTTTTTTCATGCTAAGAGGTTATATTAAGTCAGAATTCCCTCTGAATATTTCTGCATAAAAATTCACTTTTGACAAACATTAATTATCTCATGAAATATAAGTATAAAGGAGAGGCTGGGAAGCTGGGAAGAAACTCTAGCAATGAGGTCACTGCAAGGTGAGCTTTCATTAGAGGCCTCTCCCTGACCTGGGCAAGACAGCCCACAAACCTTCCATTTCCTTTGTTTTGAATCCAACTTTTTTTTTAAACCAACATTCCGTTGACTGGATTGCAGATTAGAACACTGGCACTCTAGATTTTTATAAAGAAAATGTTACCTATGCCACGATGTATGAGCCAAATTATCTAGCTTCTTCTAAGAAGGAATTGTGTTTACAAAAGTGAATTAATAACTTAGCAATTTCTCAAAGAGAAGTCATTCATGTATTCAGTATATGCCATGCTAGATATTCTTTTCTCAAGAGGCAAGACCCAGCCCTCTGACCTGGACCTTTACAGTCCAGATGGGGAGACACCGTGAGATGGACAACTCTTGGATAACTCTTCTAAATTTAATAGGAGTTCAGACTGAGAGTCAGATCATGGATGTCTGGGATTTGTGTGAAGTCAGTCAGACTGCTATTCATGTGAAGTAGAATTTTCTCATTAAAACAATCATAGACCGACACCAGTATTGTCACTACTAGAGATTAAGGGGATAGGGAGAGGTAAGAAAGAGTAAAGGGGGGATAAATGATGATGGAAAGAGACATGACTTTGGGTGGTGAACACACAACACAATATGCAGATGATGTATTATAGGATTGTACACCTTAAATCTATATTATTTTATTAACCAATGTAACACAATAAATTCAATTAAAAGAAGAAATCATTGCCCAAAAAACACCACCACCAATCTAGATTGAGCACTACTATGTGACTGGTACTAGTCTAGACAATTAGGACTCCCCTGTAAACTAAACACTGATTACATTTAGTGGAGGCTTGTTTAGTTACTTTGATAGACCCCACAAAGGCTTATATCCCATGATGCTTCATGGCACTCAAGAATGGCCAGGTGCCTGCAACAAAGGGGGTGAGTCCCTATAACTGTGTGGAAGACACACTCTGAGGAAGTAAGGACAGGAAAGCACATATGATTTCCTCTCGCAATTTAAAATCTGGCCTTAAGCATTTCTGTTGTCAAAGTAATAATCTACAGACCTAGGATACTTTTTTTTTTTTAATGAAAACTGCTCCTTAAAGAATAGATTACCCAGTTGTCAAATATTAACTGGCCATAAAGGTCCACATCTTTATGGCCAATTTATTTCTTGGCTCTCTGTTCTGTTCCATTGATCTATATGCCTGTTTGTATGCCAGTGCCATGCTGTTTTGATTATTATAGTCATATAGTATAGTTTGATATCGGTTAGCATGATTCCTCCAACTTTATTCTTTTTTCTTAAGACTGCTGTGGCTATTTGGGATCTTTTGTGATTCCATATAAATTTTTGAAATATTTGTTCTAGTTCTGTGAAATATGCCATTAATATCTCGATAAGAATTGCATTGAATGTATAGACTGCTTTGGGTAGTATGAAGATTTTAATGTTAATTCTTTCTATCCATAAAGTGGTATATGCTTTCACTTATTTGTATCTTCTTCAATTTCTTTTTTCAGTGTCTAATAATTTTCAAAGTACAGGTCATTTACATCTTGGTTAAATTTATTCTGAGGTATTTATTTTTAATGAAGTAAGCCAGTCAGAGAAAAACAAGCACCATATGATTTCACTTATATATGAAATCTAATGAGCAAAGTAAACTAACAAACAAAACAGAAACAGACTCGTAGAGACATAGAACAGACTGACAGCTGTCAGAGGGGAGGGGAGTTGGGGGACTGGGTGAAAAAAGTGAAGGGGTTAAGGAAAAAAAAAACAAAGCCTCATAGACACAGGCAACAGTATGGTGATTACCAGAGGGAAAGGGGGGTGAAGGGAGGTAGAAGAGGGTAAGTGGGGGATAAATGGTGATGGAAGGAAATGACTTGGGGGGTGAATACACAATGCAAGATGATTTATTATAGAATTGTATACCTGAAACTTACATAATTTTATTAACCGATGTCACCCCAATAGATTCAAGAAAATATTTTAAAAAGAAAGAATAGATCATCCTAGCGTGGCTGTGTGAGTGGCTTTGAAGGAGGGAGTGAAGTGTGGCCAGTCTGTTGGACCTGGGCCTGGGGAGCTGGGCCTGCCTTCTCAGCTCTGCACCTGAGCAACTTTGTAAAAGACAACTATGTTCTTGGAACCTCAATTTCTAATTATCTAAATGCAAACAATTTGCAAAGTCTAAATTGTTATATTGATGTGAGTGATTATGCATATTGATGTCTAGATTATTGCATTTTGAGACTATAGTAGAGTGAAGGTTACAGATAGAGTGAAAATTCAAACATGTATTGAGAGTCTGCTTTGGGTTAGGCAATGTGCTGGTTTCTTTTTGTGTGTGCGTGTGTGGTTCTAGTTATGTCCTTTTCATACCAGTCTTGTAAAGAGAAATTATTAGTTTATTTTATAGGTAAAATAACTGGGATTCAGAGAGTTACCTAGAGTCCCAGAGGCAATAAACAAAGGGGATGGGATTCTAATTCTGGAATTACTTGACTTCATACTTGTGCTTTAACTGGGCTAAGCGGCCGCTCATACACAATGAATAATACTATTGGAGAATATCTTAGGTAAGTCCTTTACTGACATGCAATTTCCCTGAACAATAAAATGAGAGTGCTTTATGGTCAGATGAACCTTTTTGAAACTACAAAAAATACATAAGGATCACTTATTTTTTAAAAAACTCTTATGATGTGACATTTACCACTATCCTTTCTGAAAATGGGAAACTACAACTGAAAAGTCCAAAGTAGGATTAAGGATTTAGTTTGGAACATGGCATTTATTTAGATTATAGTTTAATAATAACTGGTGGATTATTCATTTCAGAAGATTAATTGGATCTCTGACAAACTTTCATAAGAATAACTATCATATAATGGTGTTTATTGGTGGCTCAATGCTGGCTAAGGGACTGTTGATCTCACTCTTCCTAGCTCCTTTCTAAGTCAGAAGTGCTATTATTTCCAGTTTTTCAGATGAGAAGGAGATAGAGAAACACAGAGGGGAGGTTCCAGTCCAAGAAGGGCTGCCTTACCTTCAAGATGATGCTCTGCTGTCTCTCCTCCTGATTCTAAGACAGCAACGGAGGGATGCTGACGCAAAAAACAAAATAACAAGAGATTAGGCAAGCTTTCTAAGGATCAGGTCCACTCTCATGAAGATCTGACCTTTCTGATTTCTACATTGCTTAAGTTATTAAAAAAATGTGCATCCTCATGTTTACTATGACACCAGTAATAAATGTAAGAACATTATATTTTCTTGCCAGGATGCTGAGTCAGGTTTACATAATTGTAAAAAGGAAAATGAGCACATACTCTGGTTTGCAGAACAACTGCCCAGATGATCACAAGTTCTTGAATTTCAGTTGTGACCCGTGTTTTAGGCAATTGGTTTTCCTTAGTCTAGGATGACAGAACAGAGTTGTAAAAAATGGAACGCTTAAAGGTATTTTTTTGGAAAAGAACTTTCTTTTCTCTATTCTCTCTTTTTTTGAAGGAGATAGTATGTGAGGCTACATATTATCAGATAATTCCTTGGACTAAAGTTTTCAGTTTCCATCTGCTAATTTAATTTTATTTATTTTTGGTAAGAATGAGTGCTCCCAATTATTTAGCACTAATCACATGGTAGGTACTTTCTGAAGGCTTTATGGCTATTAACTTAATTATTTACTAACTTAATTCATAACCATATTTTGAGGTAAGTACAACTGGTGTTATATTTTAGACTGTGAAAGAAGATGTGGAGAAAATGAGACCTGTCCCAAGCCTACATTGATGGTACTCTTTGGAAATGAGTCTTCGGTCCCGTGTTATCTGATGTTATATGTCTGTTTTTAAGCACTATCCTATAAGTTTTAAGCAGCATCTTTATTAAGCCATTGAAACAAGTTTCTGTAGAGACCAAAACCGATAATAATAATGACAACACTTTCATAACACCTGTGTTAACACACTTACTCCTCAGAACAATACTGTCAGGTAGGTAGTGTTTTCATATAAATTTTATGGGTTAGCCACTAAATACTATTAATTCAATTAGTATAACTAAATATAAGTGCAATTATTTTAAAGAATTACTCTTTAAAAATGTATGAGCATATGCATTTCAGGCTTTGATTCATTTTCAGTTGGTCTGCCAATGAAGATGAGCATTTTTTATTTTGGATACGTTATGTTTGAAATTTCTATTGTTTCTCATGTGAGATATCAGGTTGACAGTTGGATGTTCAAGTCTGAACAACTAGATATTCAAGCCTGGAGACACTTGGTGTCAAAGAGAATGAATTAATTAATACCAAAGGCTGATAGGTCAGAGTCAGGGAGCATTAAAAGGCAGACAGAATGGATTTTGCTAGTAGTTCTAGCTCTGTCTTTCACACAGTGGGACCTGGACCAAGGTTTTTCATCTCATTGAGCCTCAGTTGCTTCCATTATGAAATGGGCATTTATTCAACAGACATGTATTGAATGCCTGCACTGCTCCAGGTACTGTTCTAGGTGCTGGACACAGCCAGGAACAAAACATACAGAAATGCTCACTCTTGTTGAGTTTATATTCTAGTATTAAGGGACAATGTGCAGAGTCAGGTAATAAACCAATGAAAAAGTGATCATATATATATAATCATGCCAAATGCTTGTAAGTATCAAAGAGAACAAGGGAGCAGGGAGGTGTGAGAGAGTGTCGGCTGGAATAGAGATGGGGAGCTGAGGATGGTGGAGAGTTAAATTGTAAAAATTGTAAATGGGATAGTCTAGGAAATCCCCATTGAGAAACAAAGATTCTAAGCAGGGGAGAGGGAAGAGGTCATGCAGAAGATATCTGTGAGAAGACTTTTCCAGCAGAAAGAGGAGCTGGTGCAAAGCCTTTGAAGGCAGGAAGCTGACTGATAGGATCAAAGGGTGTGTGTGTGTGTCTAATTAAGTTAATAACAATGTACCTACCTACATAGTTTAAGTTTAAAAAATTTGGCTCTCAAAAGAAATTTCAATCATTGTACTGTTGATATTTGGCTCTGTTGACTAATGAGTTTGACAACAACTGCCTAGGTGCTTTATAAGTACATCTTTCTTAGTCTGCACATTAATCCACAAATTGGAAATACTCTTCCCAAACACATGAAAAGGAGTGGCCCAAATGTATCTGCTGTGATATCTGCCATGTGATCTGTGAGGATTATCATGTGAGTGTTTTCTCCAAATGCCAAGAACCATTCATATTAGGAAGAAACTGTATTACTTATTTGTTCGCACTGAAAAGTGGAATGATCAGAGCCTGGAGATATGTATTTGTCCCCACCAGTGTCTTCAGCCATACTTGCATCAAAGTTTAGGGATGATGTGAATAAGTAAATACAGAATCAGAATTTTTTAATCTCTTCCAGCTGAACTCCATCATTTCTTAGTTGAAGATAAGTAAGGCCAAATGACTTTGTTCCAATAACATAACCATTAACAGGAAAGAATTTGGGAGGTACAGCCAGGGGGACCAGATCTCTGTTTCTTGGTGATGATACCCATACACACCTGTGAGCAGGTGAGCCCAGACTACCAAGGAAGGCACCAGGTATCATCTACAGATTTTCTGAAGACTAGACTGTTTCTCAGAAATGGCCATCAGGACTTGTCTGTAGATATAAATGCAAAGATTGAACAAAGATATCTTGAATAATTCTAGTAATTCATGGATTCAGTTTGCATAGGACAATGGATTCTTCAAGGCCACACTAAGTGGAGTTCCATTGGCAGGAGTAAGATTTCATTGCTTGTTTTGAGTTGTGCTTACTGTGCGGGAGGGAAAAAGAGAGTCTTGGGATCTGTACTGTATTGTGACAATTTAATTTCTCCCTCTTAAACATTTAATCTTCTAGAATGTAAAATCCTCTGGGAGCTGAGACTATGTCTACTCTTGCCAAAATTGTAACTCTTATCATCTAGTTTATAGTTAGTACTCAATAACCATTTACGGCATGAATAAATTCTACCTCATTCCACAAACTTGCTAACTCATAATCCCATCATAGGCTGAAGAGATGCCCACATAGGCTACTTCCAATGTCACCAATTTGGACCAAGAGAGAGATATATACATAATTGCCCAGGAAAATGTAGAGCCACATGCTTTAAGGTTCAGTATCTAAAATTAGGAGGGAATGATGATCCTGCTGGACTGTGTAATGCATGAAAGCAGGAACTATATTTTTCTCAATCACCATTGTATCTCATGTCTTTAAAGTAACTTTCCTACATTAGTTGTTAATAATTAGTTTTTAAAAAATTAATTGATCAAAAAAGATATTTGAGGCATAGCAATGATAAAAATGAACTGAATCCAGGATTAAGAGGTAAACAGAGTTATGAGGGTCTTGGGATGAGCTTCACTGGTCGAATTTCTCTTCATCACCTATTTGTGGGTAATGAATACCATCCTAGGAATGGGCACACAGGAGACACACAAGAAGTATTATTTTGAGGTATATCATTCTTAAGGAAATCAAGAGCTGTCCCAATAGAGCCTCAATTGATAGAAAATTGGCTGAGTTAATAGGACAATTAATGTAAAAAATTGTGTTCAGAATTTGATTTTCTAAAATATTTTTATTTAGTGTTATCTTAAATTTCTTTGTCAAATGTTTTTAAATGGTTGTGTGAAATACCAGTCAACAAAATCTTAAAATGTTCAAATATCAAACCTTTGTTGAATAAATTATAATGTTTCAAATAGTGGTTAAGCGGAGGCTATTCTGTTTACTAGTAGGTCTTAATTCTCACTGTAGAGAGTAAGTAGTCTTATAATATACTTATGAAATTGTCTTTTGATCTTCATTTTTATCTGTATGAATATAAACAAAATGAGACATGGTAGTTGCCTCACTGATATATAACAAAGTCCCTCAATGTTGAAAAGCAGTGGCATTAGTGATGGTTTTCATCCCCAAGAACTGTACATGGTTACATTGTTATATGAATAGTTTTCTTAGAGCTGTGATGGATAATAGCCCAATAAAAATGGAAAAAATAGTATGTTTTTAACTTTCTGTCTTTATCCATAAATCAGGCTATATGAGCTATTCAACTACATAAAGATAAAACAGAATGTTATGATTTTTAGTCTCTTATGGGTATTCTTAATTATTATCTGGAACTAAAGAAAGATCAGTGAAGACCCTTTAAATGGTCCAAAATTGGTCCAAAACTCCAAGCTGAGCTATACTTCAATTTGGATGTGAGTAGCAGAAGGAAGCATGATTTACCCCTTTTAAAAAAAGAAGTGAAGAGCTGCCTTTTGTCACACAATTATCTTTTAATACAACACTATAAGCATGTCCATAATATTAAATCACAAAAAGAACTCTGAAAGGAAAATGGAATATGTAATATTGCCTTCTGCTTGTTTCTGAAGGGATGAGCTATTGTTCCAGAGATTTTACAGTTCTATAATAAAAGAGTAGCTAAAAAAGATTTGCTTATTTGACATTTCCATTTCTTATTTTAGTGCATATTATTAGGTTATTCACTTTATTTTATTTTTTCTTTTAAATAGCAAATGACTCCATTTTATTTATTTATTTATTTGTTTGTTTGTTTGTTTATTTACATTTAACTCTATTTTGTATTAGTTTCAGATGTACAGCATAGTGGACAGACAATGATATACTTTATACAGTAATCCCCCTTGCCCCCAGTATTTTAAGTACCCACCTGGCACCATACATAGTTATTACAATATCATTGTCCATACTCGCCAAGCATGATTTATTCTGAGTGACTTTGCTTTTGGAAATTTACCAACTTGTAACGTGAAGAAAATTAAGTGGAGATAACAATTATGCAAAAATAATTGGCATCATGCCTGGTACAAATAGGCACTTGGAAATGTTACTTCCTGCCACTCCTCTCTAATCCTTTCGCTTCACCACTTAAAAGCCCTTAAAAGCCCTGAATCATGAATGCTCAGCTACATTATGTCTGGGCATCATGACCCATGACGTTCCACTCCCAAGAAAGAATGCCTTCTGATGTTGACCCTATCTCCTTTCCCCTCTCCCCTTTCTCCTTTCTTTATTACTTCAAATTAGGACATTCAGGTAGTTGAAAGTACATTAATAATGCCTAGGTCACTAGCCACATAAGAGATGTTAATTAACAGTTAATTTTTAATTAAGAATGAAGAGGGAAAAAACACACACACAAAAAAACCCCTGAGATGTTTTAGGCCATTGCTAATCTGATATTAGCAGTGCTCTGATCCTCATTTTCCCCCTACCACATAAGATGCCACAGAGGATGGCTCTTTCTTTTTGCACATGCCAGGACTGAAGCCCTTGCTTCTCTAATCAGTATGCTTGTTCTATGAATGGGGGCATGTAAGGCCTCTTGCTCCTCTAAAGTGATTCTTG